TGTATTCATATGCACACAAATGTTTCACTTATGTTTTTTCTTAATATTTTCAAATTTCTAAAAAGAATATTTTCAAATTTCTTCATGCATGCATGTTTCCTTTCCCAACTACATTGTTATTGCTGAAAAATTCAAGAAGACATTGTCCCCCTCACTATGCCTCCTAGAACCATCCTGGAACCCAATGTCTCTCCCCAGGTACCCCCCATTTCCCTTCTACATCTCTTCCCAGGTGCTGAAACCTTCAGCCACCAGCCCTAAAATCATTCCCATTCACCTAAAGAAATTTCTGTGGGAAATCCAAGCCAACCCACGTATCACTCTTCCCTTCCTTCCCTTGGCCTGGGCCATCCAGGCCCAAAGCAGGGAAAAAGCTATAGTCTTTTTCTATGGGTCTCAGTGCAGGAGAGGGACGCATTTACTAAGAGGGGGATGAGTCTCTGTGTAAGTCATTTGATTAAAAGTTTCTATATTTAATAATTATTCCAAAGAGAGTATCTTAGCTATTATTATTATCCATTTTTATTGCCATTAACAATGAAATGTCACTCTTATAGCTACACAGAGTACTCTCAGTTTTACAGATAATGTCAGAAGCATGGTGTTCACTGGCTCCAGTGCTGGGCATGCACCTTGTATCAGCAGCTCATTTGCTCCTAGGCATAGGGTGCTGCTCGCTCTCCCTCCTGTTCCTTGCTTGTATACTCACTGCAGAATTCCTTAACCCACTCCTGCCACCTCCTTTCTGGGGATGTATTTGCTCAACTGTGGCAAATTTAGGCAATTGTGAATAAGGAAAATATTAAAACAAATATGTATGATGGAGGAAGTAGGAAATTATAGAATCTTTTAAGTTTAAAGGGATTTTATTTTTTCAAATCCCAAAGTCTACCTCCCATTTGCAATGCACAGATTCTGAGGAACAGAAAGGTTAGGAGACCACTGAAGCTATACAGCAGATTTGTGGTAAAAAGGCAGGACTGGAACTCAGACCTTCTGGTGCTCAATCAAGTTCTCTTCCATCACCACATGGAATTTTCCCAGCTTTTGTCAAATACTTTAGAAAACCTGAGCTAGCTTCCAAACGTATCTGACAGGACAAGGACACAGTGAAAGCATTGAAATATATTTTATTTTTAAAGTATGCCCTTATTTCTGTCATTTTTTTCTCTCTCTCACTTATCTTAATCTCACCTGGATAGTTTTATCTAAGAAGGAGGAAATATCAGTACCGGCATTAAACCCTGCTTTTGCTTTGCCTTACAAGGACCTAGCCAACATATTGTTTGCCCCAGGGAGGAGGTTGGAGGTCTCCAGGGTCACTGTTCCTACATCTTGGAAATAAAATTCTAAAGGGATTCCCAATATCATAGTCTCCCAAAATGTATACACACTTTAATAGCTGATAGCTCAATTTTGAAAATGAAATGCATTTTAGTGAACACTGCCTTTATAATTATTCAAAGTATGTGTATACATTTTTAAGACCACCCTATTTAGTGCTGGATGCCATGAATTGAAATTGTGTCATTTGTGTAGTCATAAGGTCAGCTTAATATATGTCTGAATATGCTTGATCAATTTAAATTACAAATCACCATAATTTGTAAAGTATTGATCAATGAATAGCCATTAAAATCACACATTAAAAATATATACATTACACTCATATATATAATTTTAGAATGGCAGACAGTACTGTCTCTGATACTGTGGGGAAGGTTAGGATATCAACCTTGATATTAGGTGACTTCTAGCAGCATGGCCTGTAATCACAGTTATGGCGCCCTCACTAGCAGCCACACTTTACCAGCACACCTGTGTCAACACCGCTCAGAATGAGTCACTCACCCTGGGTACATGTACGAATTACCTTTCACAGTTAGTTTGTCAAAAAGGTAGAGGTCACATCTGGCAAAGTTACTGAGTCACTGGTGTAGGAATCTGAAACCCAAACTCTCTCCATTGAATTCTCCCTCTCGCCTTTGTAAATGTTCCATTTCACCAATAAAGGGCTGTCAGTCTCAAGATTTAAGGATTTAAGCTTGAAGGGGCTATAATTATTTCTCTAGGACTCTGTCAAGAGATTTCTGTACTTACTCATTCATTGTTCCCATGTGATTTTATATTTGTCATTTTTTTCTCTCTAAACAGCAGAAGTTTTTTAATTGCTCCACACAAATGGAAAACTAAGGTGAAGACAATAAATCTGAACTTGACTTTTCATACCTAGTAGTACTATGAAAAGGCTGAGTGATTTGGACAGTGATTGCAAAGATCGGCTTTTATTAGAAAGATATGTGGTCTTTGCCCAGGTTATTTCTTAATGAAGTCATTTAAAGGGATTTTCACTTTGCTCCTTTTTCTCTTTTGTTCATAGGTCCTGAGTGTTCCCAGAACTACACAAGCCCTAGTGGAGTGATAAAATCCCCTGGATTCCCTGAAAAATATCCCAACAGCCTTGAATGCACTTATATTATCTTCGCACCAAAGATGTCAGAGATTATCCTGGAATTTGAAAGCTTTGACCTAGAGCTTGACTCAAATCCTCCTGGGGGCATGTTCTGTCGCTATGACCGGCTAGAAATCTGGGATGGATTCCCTGATGGTAAGAAGGGAAAGAAGAATCCCCAAAAGGGAAAGACCGGGGGGGCCGGGGGGGGGGGGGAGTAATGGGATCCTTTGACACACGTCATGATACATGCATCATTTTTTAAAAATAGCTCAGAAGGAGGAAGGAAATCAATAATTCTATGCAGAGCAGCTTTGAGCTCAAACAGCCTTAGTAATTAGTTCAACTCCTTCATTTTGTAGATAAGGAAACTGAGACCCTGAATGATCATGCAAAACCTCATACTTTTTTGTGATATAATTAAAAACCAATATATAGTTTTCCTGACTAAAGTATTTTGTTCATTTTATTGGCCTGTCTACTGGTCATTAATTCATAGGCTGTTAGAGGAGAATATCTTAAGAGATAAATTAAATCAAACCACTCATTTTACCAATGCTGAGCCTAAGAGAAGTTAAATACCTAGTAAAAGTTTAGGGGTGAAATAAGCATCCATTATGCTACTGAAAAATTTAGAAGAGGAATGAGAATGTTTGGACATTTCTAATTTAGACAGACCTTGCCCACTTCTAGTGAATTTTTATCTTTGGCAACTTGAATCACCTCAATACATTCTTCATATTCATTGTTCCTATCATCTAAATTCATTATACACTTTTTTGATTGAGCACCTGCCCTGTCCCAGGCACTATTCTAGCCACTTGGTAAATAAAACCATCAAAGATGACTATCCTTGTGGAGCTTAGATTTGGGGCGGGGGGGGGGCGGGAATGAAACAATAAACAAGGCATAGTACAAATAAATGAATTATATGTATGGAATGTTAGAAGGTGAGAAGTTCTATAAACAAGAAAAAAGTGAAAGAAAGAAAAATAGAGCAGTATGAAGGTATGAAAAGTGCTAGTGTTAGGGGAGAGGGATGTGTGGAATAATTTTTAAATAGGATGGTCAGACTAGGTCTTCTACAGAAAGTGATATTTGAGCTAAGATTTGAGGGAGGTCAGAGAGGTAGCCCTGTGGACACCTAAAGGAAAGTTTTCCATTTAAACCCTTGTGCATTAGAAGAAGAATGGCAAAAATACACACCCAAATTCTGAACAGCGGGAGAGAACATCAAATAATTTGCTGCAGCTGCATTGCATGGCATAGCTTGTCTTGTGTTTAGTCTGGTTTAATATTAATATTTTTTCTAGAGAATACACTATACAAATCAGAAAGGGCAGTTTGGAAGTTCTTACAAATCATGCAGTTAGACATATATAACCATCTATAAAATATTATTTTATGATATTATCAATTTGGAGGAAACAGTATTTAAATAAATTATAGATGGAGAACAAGTATAATGTAAAAGAAATTGCCTTTGACTTTGAAATGACATTAAATTATCAGTGTAATTTAATTTAGTTATGTTCCTGTTCCTAGACAGTAAAGGAGAAAAACTGGGTTTAAAGAAAGCTTATATTGTCATTGGAATACATGGATAAGTTAACATTAGTTTAGCTGTTTTTTTAGTCTTTTACCATATAAATAGGGTTATGATGATCTTAAGGAAACTCCTTCATTAAGTAATGAGATTTTCCCAAACAGAGTACTGATTGATTTCCAAGTATTCAATCCAATAATTAGGAAAACAATATTCTAATAGTATTGTAATAATAGTTGGAACATTTAATAAAGGGTTCATTTGTTCACAACCCAAATTTGCAGCCTTCCTTTCTAGAACTTACATTTAAATTAACATGTGAAAAAGAGGTTTAATCAACCACCTTATTTAGAATATTTCAGAAAGAAGCACATTGTTATTAGTGTCAAGGGTTTTTCAAAGTAGTAATTTTCTGGCTTTGGAAAATCACTGAGTTGAATGGAAGAACAATTAACAATGAGAGTTGTTAGCCTTGCAATTCACCCATGTTTTGAACTATGGTGAGTTTGACTTGATCCCAGAGAAAATTGGCTTTGGAATGGAAAAAAATGTGTTTGTATATTTGTTAATGTTTACCTGGCCTTGTCCATCTTATGCCAACGTAGCAGCTCACTCTCTTAGCCAAAATGAGAGACTGCGTGCTCTCCTGAGTTTCTGTCAGTGGCACTAGAAACATTTTTTCATAGTAGTTCAATACATACAGTTTCTCTGCCAGCAAAATTGCTTTTAGTCTTTGATATTCTTTCCAAAAATAACAACCAGAAGGCGCTGAAGGCTTTTAACCACCAAGTGATTTTTATGTTGCATTTTATCACAAACATTAAATTAGATGACTAAGTAATTCAAAGCTACCCATTGATTCAAATAGACTTTGAAGAAAAGCAGTTCACTCCAAAACTGGAAATCCAAGGCATGCATGTTGTGAACCACATATCTCCATCTATCATGCTCTCTGAAGCTCTGTGGATTCACAAGTAGCAACTCTGAAGTAATTGAGGAAGTTTAAACATATAGCTAAGCATGCTGCCTGGTTGATGCCACAAATGCTTGTGCTGAATCATGGAACCAAGTATGAATGCTTAACTCACACCACATGGATGCAGATGAAGTCAGCCCCCTTCTGGGGATGGGGGGAGAAGCTGGGACTATCCTTGTTACCTATATCCTAAGCATTATTGATGAGTTTAGGAATACCTTTCATAAAAGCTAAATTGAGTTCTGTTTTTAAAAATTTACCTTTAAATTAAAATTAACCTTCTAAACTATAAATATAAAATATAAATCACATAAATATAAACATTCCAAAATATAAATGCAAGTGTTTTTCTGGGGAAAAGTTGCAAAGTCCAGATATTCTCCACCAAAAGGTTCATTATTGTAAGACTAATATACATAGCCTATCTTGCACATTTCTGAAATGATTCCATTATTTATTTATTTATTCATTCATTCATTCAAAATACCTCATTTTAAAATGACCTCTTTAGATTAGATCATTGTCCTTTTTTTAAAAAAGTAAAAAGGTAGAAAAAAGCCAAAGTGTCTGACTCTGAAGTAGGGTGGTAATTATTGGAGAGATTAATGGGAAAATACAAAGAATGAGGTACTACCATTTCCAGTTCCAGGTATATCTTTTAAACTATACAAGTACTATACTGGTTTCACACCTGAGAAGATATCAATGATTTTAGGAATTGTAGCAGTTCTACTCTCCCTCAAGAGTTAGCTTAGTCCATATTGCTCGCTTAAATTCTTCAACAATTCAATTTTTGAATGATACTTCTGTTTTTGTGACAATTTTCTTCTCCTTGGTGTTGAGTCCAAAAGAATGGGAGAAGGAAATCTAGTCTCTGTGTTCATGTAAATACACAAATGCACACAAACCTGAGACGGACAAGAGTACTTTACCCACTCTCCCTCAGATCAATATTGCATTAGTTTGCTAGGCTAAGGTCTCACTGTTGTTCAGGAAAATTCAATACTTCTTTGTATTATAGTCGAAAAAGCCTTTCACTCTCATATCTTGAGGGTTCCTGTAGAGAGTTGTATTCTGCTGTCTGGGGCAATGTTCTAAAGGACAGAAGGCAGATTTACACAGCATGCCATACACATTATAAACCAGTGAGTCATGGAGACTCTAAATTATGAGTCTGCAGTAGACAAGTTCTCTTCTGTTTGCTCCTTCAAAAAGACTCCCCCTGCCCCCACCCTCTCCAGAGGAACTGGGTGACAGTGGTGGGGGAGGATCAGCAACCAGAGCTGAAGGGGGTGACTACAACTTCCCTTGTGCCCTATATTCTTGCTAAGGTCAGTGACCATGGTGATCAGAGAAGGACCCCAACGATTAAGGCTGTAAAAGTTTGCCCACAAACAAAAGAAAAAGAAAGTGATGAAACCACAATAATGGAATTTAAATGAGGGAGGATGAATGGACTTTAAGCCTCCCATTAAGATTGAAGACCAGAAATGGGATTCTTTTTAAGGAAAGAAAATATTTGAGTTTATACTCTAGCTAGATATTTTTATGCATATGTTATGGGCAACTTTACACTCCATACTAAAGGAAAAAAGTGTTGGATTGTGGTAGGGCCACATTCGGAATGAGGAAAATCTGGCAAAGTACTAGCACTTACAGAAGAATCTGAGGCCAGGATTAAAGCTAGAAAAACAAACAAACAAACAAAAGACAGCAAAAGTTTCATCTTCTGAAATGTTCTCTTCTGCCAACTTGGAATGTAACAAAATGTTCTTCCTTAATGCAAAGCCACTGCCTATGACCATGTGATGCATTTTAGATAATCTTTATCAATTCCCTTAAATGGGTCAGCCTTCTTGTTTCCTTCATAATAAAGCAATATAAACATACACACAATGTTTGCTTGCTGATGAGTGAGGGATTACGATAGACAGAAAACTCTTGGTGTGTTCTTTATTGAACTTATTGGGATGAGATTGGTTAATAAAATTATACAGGTTTCAGGCATACAATTCTACAACACATCATCTGTATATTATATTGTGTGTTTACCAACCCAAGTCAAGTCTCCTTCCATCACCATTTATCCCCTCTTTACTCTCATCTATCTCCTCCACCCCGCTTCCCTCTAGAAATCACCATACTGTTGTCTATGTCCACATGAGTCTTTCTTTTTTTTTTTTCTTTGCTTAATCCCTTCACCCTTCTCACCCAGCCCTCCATCCTCTCCCCTCTGGCAGCTGATAGTCTGTTCTCTTTGAATTCTGTCAAATCAATTGCTTTGAATGCATGAAATAACCTTTTTGTACTAACTCAAATATGTAAACTACGTAGGATTAGGTTTTGTTTTTCTTTTTCTTTGTGTTTTTTGTTCTCTTTTTAAGAGTATTGGCTAAGAACTAAAAACCTGTTAGCCAAGAATCTGAACACTCTAAAAAGAAGGGTTCTCAGATTAGTTGCCAACCTAAGAACTCAGCTGATATGTGGGACTCCAGGCTGATCACTTCTGTGGGGTTCGCTTTTTCAGTCACACTTGGAGTTTCTCTGAGCCCTCGTCCACAGCCTTCTGCGTCCAAGCTGCACATACAGGCCTTGGAACACCTCTTCCCTGTTGAAGGCTTATCCTGCCAGGGATAGGTCCACCTACTGTATTTTCTTGAACAAAGCAATAACTTTTAGTTGAAATGCACAAAATCATGGGTTTCTTGGAGGGTAAAATGGTCCACGTCAGATTGTCTTTCTAAGTCCAAACCATCTGGTACGTTTTTACCATATGTGCAAAGAAAAAACCTAGAGAAAATGATACTTTTTTTTGTCTTGCTATTGATCTGGACAGGGAAATGGAAAGATTCTCCAAACCCAGATGGCCCTGCACCATCCATAAGACAATTTATAATTATTAATTGCCAAGATTTGTCTAAAAGCACTTCAACAAGGGTGTGGCCAGTGTAAGCCAAATAGCAATTTAACTTTATCACAAATCAATCAGCATTCCCAAACTTGACTGCCTCAGGGACTACTTTCTTCCTGGTGCACACAGTCAAATAGCTGCTGGGACCGGCTCTTGGCCGCTGGACACCAGTGCAACACAGTCAGGGAAAAAACTAGGACCGAAGTCAGAAAGATGTATTTTCCTTTCATTTTGAATACAACTTGCTATTTTGCATAAATGATTGGTATCTACAGTTTCTAAATTTTTAAATTGTCACAATTGTAAATTAGTCTTCAGATTAAGTTCTGAGTTGGACAGGATCCTTTATCAAAGTCACTGATATTTGTCATAATAGGGCTCCAGGATTAAAATATAGAATGAGGAAAGAAATCAGGGTTACACAGTGTTGGATCAGACCCTGAGTATTGCCCTGGTTCCAGCCAGGATCTCAGGACATAGGCCTTCCTTAGGATCTCCTTCTAGGGCAGGGCAGTGAGGACAGGCAACTCTAAGAGACCTTGTTCACCACAGCATCAAATTGGTCCTGGAGATGAATTCCAAGGTTCCACTTAACAGCCCAAATCTCGTTCTTTGAAAGTGAAGAAAGCATTTTGATTCTGTTACTGAACACAACTTGCTTCCCAGGGAATGTGGTGATATCTGTTACTGCTCTTCTGAGTACACTTGGAAATTCTCTCCACAAACCTGATTGGATATGTTCAATGCAAAGCAATTAGCCAGGGAAGATGCTTTGAGTAGGAAAACACTGGGTTCCACTGAAACCCATGTTTGCAAATGGGGGTTCTTGCATCTGCTTTAGAAGAAAATATATTTTAATGTTTTCTGCATTTCTCCCTTTCCAGTTGGCCCTCACATTGGACGTTACTGTGGACAGAAAACACCAGGTCGTGTTCGTTCCTCATCTGGCATTCTATCGATGGTTTTTTATACTGACAGTGCGATAGCAAAAGAAGGCTTCTCAGCAAACTACAGCGTCCTGCAGAGCAGCCTCTCTGAAGGTCAGTGTTCATTCACCTTGCAAAGCCTGTGGGAAATACTCCTTGTTATTCTTCCTCACACACCAGGGGTAGCAAGAAACAATAAAGAAATGTTTCTTGAATTGGATTGCCAAGTGTTTATTTTTCTCTTTTAAGTGGGTTTTACGAATATCAATAGGAAGAATTATCTGGTGTGCTTTCTTAATAAAATTATACATGAGGTGGTTGCTTATAAGCCTCTGAAATTATGGGAGAAAGTGGGAAATCGAAAAACTGCTTTGAAACAATGAAATATGCCAGGCCACCTACCTGACATCTTCAAATATGTATTGGGCTGAGATTCCTAAAAGGACAAGCATGCATCATGGATGATAAGGATGAATCTGTGGAGTTCATTGACAGGGCAGCCATATAGAATGGATGGTGTGCCATGGTTTGGTCTGCGGAAACCGTTATGTTGTTCTTTCTTAAGTGAATGAAAGTGGATATTCATGTAAAAGAAGCATGTAATTTCTGTTACAACTTTGCATAAAAGAAAGGAAAAGGAATATCTGTTTATATCTTATTAAAATACTCAAATAACTCTGCCCTTCCTCAAAGTTTATGTGTTTTCCAGCTTTTAAGGGCCCAATGGGGGGAAAAATAATGAAGAACAATGAATAAATTGTTTCATCAGTTCTAGCTTTTGGGTTGTAAAGTAAGATAAGGAGAAGACTAGGTGTTTGGAGACCTTTTATACCAGATCTTAATGGAAAATAAAAAGGCCAATTAAATTCCAAGAAATTTAATTGATTAATTAATCCATGTATTTTTGTGCTATAAATATTTTTATATTACAAATAACAAACCTAACCTTAAAAGTATAAAACCAGTGAATGAAAACCTTTTATGCCTTAAAACCTTACCTATTGTGATAGAAAATTCAAAAAATGTAAAATTTTGGTTAGTTGAGATTTTCTGGATGGTCCATTTTTAAAGCCTTTTTCACTTTAGTGCCTTAGATTCACATTTTCCTAAAATTAATGATTCATTTTCCAATATCATATGTCATATCAATTTCATATTTTATTTTTTCACTTAGTGTATGAGACCTAGTGGAATACATGGTCATCATTGTTAGCATTATTTTATGCTCTAAAACTCTTAAACTGTTGTGCCCTTTGGGATCATATGATACTGCATTTACCCCTGACAGATACTTTTGTGTTTTAATAAAATAAACTGGTGATTTTAATAATCATGACTAGGCCAGGAGCAGGTAGCATGAGAACTAAAAGATGCAGAAGAGGTGGCATGGGTGCCAATTGCAAGGATTCTGAAAGACAGAGTTAAGGACTAGTGTCCACTGACTATGGATTGTAAATGGACATAGAATTTTTTCACTTTTATTAAATACTGTAAGAAATAATTCAATAGTAAAATTTTATTGAAACACAATTTTTGGTGTGTGCCCATGTGACATGTCTACATACATTCAACTTTGAAAAGAAATCGGAATTTCCATCATTTCCTACCAATTTCTAATAGTATTCCTGTCAACCTTGGTCCAGTTGGAAAAATATTTAATCACTATGAGGTCATCATATTGTTGCTTTAAGTGATTATTGCCATGGTCTGGCTGGGTGGCTCAGTTGGTTGGACTGTTATCCCACACACCAAAAGGTTGTGGGTTCGATTCTGGGTCAGGGCACATTTTGGTTTTGATCCCCAGACATGGTGCATATAGGAGGCAACCAATCTATGTTTCTCTCTCTTCTCTCTCACATCGATGTTTCTCTCTCTCTCTCCCCCTTACTCTCTCTTTTTCTAAAAAAAAAAAGGAATATATATCCTCAGGTGAGGATTAAAAAAAAATTATTTCCATGAACCTGAGTGTCCATCAATAGATAAATCAAAGAGAACATGTGAAAAATGTAATATTATTCAGCCATAACAAGAATGAAATCTTACCATTGATGACAAAATGGATGGACCTAGAAGGTATTATACTAAGTGAAATAAATCAGACAGAGAAAGACAAACACCGTGTGACTCCACTTATATGTAGAATCTATAAAACAAAATAAATGGGCAAACAAAACAGAAACAGAAATTATTGCCACGAAAATGCATATATGAGTCCTAGCTTCTAATAAGTTCTTTACTGTCATCTTTTGTAAAACTTTGTTTGAACACAATATGAAATTTTTAGTCTGTCAGATTAAAAAGAAGAAGAAACACAGGTGCCCTGTTTTGATGACTTTGGGCCATTTTTTTCCTCCTTTCAGATTTCAAATGTATGGAAGCTCTGGGCATGGAATCGGGAGAGATTCATTCTGACCAAATCACAGCTTCTTCCCAGTATAGCACCAACTGGTCTTCAGAACGCTCCCGCCTGAATTACCCTGAGAATGGATGGACTCCTGGAGAAGATTCCTACAGAGAGTGGATACAGGTAGGTCGCTTAAGACCTGGCACATTTAGGGTTGAAGATGATTTTGGTCATTTAGAAAGATTGTTGAAAAAACGCAATGCCTGACAAGTGCCTTCAGATGAGAAGAGAAGGCTAATGGGCACTAAGTCACTGTGGAACCATGTCACGAGGCACACCATCAAAAAAAAAAAAAAAAGCAAGCCCTGATGACATCTCTCAAAAGCCATGCATCTTCTCAAATACTTACATAGGACTCTTCACAGAATTTAAGCAAAGATGTCTCACTTTGGTAACACTGAAAGATCTGATTTTTCCCCAAAACTACACATTTTTTATTAATATGCTTCCTACTTCAACAGATGTTTATTTCCTGGATGAAATATATTAAACCTACTTGTAGACTTGAGTGAAATACTTGTTCCCAAGTATAGGGTTTTTAATTTATTTGTTCAGGTAGACAAAGGGAAGAAGCAGATTGAGGTTCACTTTTCCATGTAGGGTAATATAGCACAGGTGGTTTATTTGAGGGCACTGGTCTCTGTGGATTATGTTTACACATCCATGTATGAAATGCACATATTCATATTCTCATTAGTGAAATTGTTTCTGCTTTCCTCACTTTGCTCTGGCATTCCCTTCTCTCCCATAACCCTTATATTCCCCACAAACCCTCCTCCCGTCAGTAGTATCCCCACCCCTCACTCATCTCTGGTCTTGATCCTAACACCATATCCAGTCCTCAACTTGCCCAACCTTGATATCTGGATACTCCCAGACAAAGCTCACATTCTTGACTTTTTCACCCATTGTAAAATGAAACACACATATCTGGCTGAGTGGGTTAACCTGTGGGAAATTATACAAAGTGAATTGCTGAAGGATCCAGGCTCCCTTTTGAGGAGAGTAGGCAGCACCTTGCATTCATTGCTAGATATATAAAAATGACTAATTCCCAGAGGGAGAGTTTCTCAGTAAGAAAAAAAAACCAAGGTTATTAACCCTCTATTTTCAACATCTACTGCTGCTTCAGTCTTTTGAGAACAAAATGCCAGATTTTGTTTTACTTTGGAAAGGTCAATATTAGTTTAACAAAAATTTAATGTGAAATGGCCTATTATAGGAGACAAACTCATCCTAACCTCTTACAGGAGACTGAACTAATGCTGAGAAATATCTAAAGGGTGAGAAAAGATGAGACTTTTACCTTGAGACTACTGAATCCAGTTCTATATTAAGTCAGAAATGAAATGAATTTGCCTATGTCAAAAAAGCTCTTGGTAACTTTAACTTGTTTTTCCACATTCCCAAACCAACAAGCAATTGTGTGTGATTGACAGATGTGCCTCTAGAGGAAAGCTTACATTTTGCAGTGCTAAGCGTGTTTGCATGGTAATGCAGTCCCATTCTTGGTAATGTGGAAAGCGCTCAATAATTTAGGGGAAGTGGTCTTGCAAGAGGCCTGAAATTGCAACTGCAGCAATTCTTCTGTGCAAGGCAAGTCAGTAGAAACACGGAAACAAAATAGGTCCTGCAAAGTAATTTTCAACAGGACAGGATTTACATCATTCTCAGGAGTTAGACACAATTTGAGATTGCCCTAGAAGAAAAAAATATCTCAAATGTTCCAACTCTTTCTATCAAAGCATGTTCAGGAAAAGCAAAGTAACCAAAACAAGAAGGTTTATTTCTTTCTTGTGCTACTTTCCATCTCTCATTCGCTGAAGGGCTGCTCCACATTTTCTCAACCAGGGCCCACAAGGAGGGGGAGCAGCCGTCATCTGAAATGTTGCCTGTCACCAAGGCAGAGGGAGAAAGAGAGTGTGGTAGAACATGCTGGCTCTTTAATTCCCTCAAAAAAAGCACTTCCACCCACTTTTTTTTTTTTGCCAAAGCAAATCCCACAGCCACAGTAAACGTCTGAGAGGCAGCAATTCAACATGTGCTAACAGGAAGAGAGCTAGAAATAGTTGACAATTGTGCCATTCATAAAATAGTTACCATTTATTGCGTACTTACTATGCGGCCTGACCTCGCTGAATCCCTGACATAATTTTAATTCTCTGAGCAATCCTGTGGAAGAGGTACAATTATCCTCATTTTAAAACACTGAGGTTCGAAAAAATTAGTAAATGCCCTAGGTCACAGTTAGTGACTGAGTTTGGCAACCAGGGTCTGTGGGACCCCAACACCTGCTTCTTTACACAGTGTGCTGCATCTTTATCATTCATTGCCACCCCTAGAAATTCAATCACTTACCTCCCCTTAGACTTTCCTCCCTCTGGGAAGGCTCACACCAAGATGACTTGGGTGCTAACTGCTTCTAAGCCTGGCATGCAGGGCCCTAGCTCCTCAGCCCTCTCTATAAGATGAATGTCAGAAAAGCTTAGAGTCTGCTCACCTTGAGGTAAAATGAGCCTTTTCTTCTTGGGGAGCTTAGTGGGCTCATTTACATGTTAGTTGTGTCTGTATACATGGTGGGAGTGCCTAACATCCACCCAACACCTAATTACGAATAATTTCATGTGTTTCCAGCTTTTCAGAAACTACCTGGAGGTGGTTAGCTCCTTGTTTTTATTAGCTAAATGCTTTACAAATTACCCAAATACAGCATCATTGGACTGAGGGGCAAGAGTCACTTACCCCATCACATCAATATGCAGATGGTATTTTTTTTTTTTTTTCAGCTTTTCCACATTTTGCATCAAATATACCCTACAAACATGTTACTGTAGCAACAAGGACAAACACTTGCATGTGTTAAATTAATAAAACAATATTGGAAGATGACTTTCCTTCAAGATAGGAACACTCTTAGGTTCCCATTGTTTTCTCTGGGAAATTACTGAGTGACATAAAAAAAAAAAAAAACAATGCACCATTAACCATCCACATGAACATTCACAATGGTGCTTCCTGTGAGATCTGTTGTCTGCCAGAAAGCTTAAAAACAAGAGGCAGCTTAGTGAGAAGGAGCACGAAGGGAAGTCTCAACTCAGAGGTCTGCACATGGTCATATCCTGCTCAAAAGGCTACTCATATCCTGAGCAACTAAAACCTCTTTATGGTCAATGGCAGAGTTAAATCACAACGTGAAATTCTCCTATTTTTTTTCAAAGTATTTCATTCTGTTCTGTGTCCTAGAGCTGCTTATCTTATTATTAATTTAACAAGAGGCCCGGTGCACAAAAATTTGTGCACTTGGGGGGGAGGGGGGGTTCCTCAGCCCGGCCTGTGCCCTCTTGCAGTCTGGGACCCCTCGGGAGATAACGACCTGCTGGCTTAGGCCTGCTCCCCGGTGGCAGAGGGCAGGCCCAATCCCTAGGTGCAGCCCCTGGTCGGGCTCAGAGCAGGGCTGACTGGGGAGTTGGGGCGCCACCCCCTGTCATGCACAGAGCAGGGCGGATTGGGAGGTTGCGATGCCACCCTCAGTCACGCTCAGGGTAGGGCCGATTGGGGGGTTGGGGCACCGCCCCCTGTCACACTCAAGGCAGGGTCGATGGGGAGGTTGCAGCGCCACCC